AAACCTATTACAACAGCAGGCCTTGTCAAACGATTATTTTCAAAGTCATGCAACATTGGCATATAAGACTGGATGTCAAAATATGCTAACGTTAAACCATAAATTCAAATTTGCATTCAGAATGAAGTGGTTCTTGACATCCCTTTTGCCTTTGCCCACAAACTTTGCTGAAGAGTCTGAATTTGACATTTTTGCGTCCCATGACAGATCCGAACAATGGACAGCGCCAGCGGTAGTAGCGTGACGTCACAGCACGCCACTCAATGTGTTGCAACCGATCGCTCCAGTCGTTTCACAATTTAAACAGCTGTGTGTGACCAACATTAACAACACTGACATACGGTCGACAAAAAAATCTATAGTTCAGTGAACAGAATTTAGGCTTGATTCACACAAACGCTCCGCACATTAGATCAAGATTTCTAATTTCAAACCTGCATGATTAGGCTATCATTAATAGTAGTGCCCAGTGGTGCCTATCCCATGGTGATGGTGAGGTAGGCTACTACAGTGTCGACGCAGTTGTCTGTGCATGCCTGTGTGTAAGAAGGCAGGGCAAAAGAGGATATCAATGACAGATATTTTGTTATGGAAAATGCGTGGACGTAAACATGTTGTCAGGCTGCTTAACTCCCTATTATGCAATCGCTTTTAACCTTAAAATGACACATACGACCTGCATCCCTACCACCGCCGACTCCTTGGTCCATACCGCACATAGGCTATGATCACCGTGCCTGCACCATCCCATATCAAGTGCATGGTGCTTTTCTTTGGATGAACACTTTTAAGCAAGAAAGTGGCTGCATTAAAATGACATAGTCTATGCTATAATTGTCATATGGCTAATCTGCTGTTGGATCAATTAGCTTTTAAATTTGGACTACTTTTACTGTAGTTGCGGTCAAATAACGTAGCCTAGGCTCCATATGGCTATATACTACTATATGTACAAGTAGGTTATTTAGTGCCCCCTTAGGCTACTTCTTTCAAGAATAAGGCTTCATTGTGAGATGCAATGAATGTTCTAAAAGTGTCATGCAAATGTAATACACTTATGTGCGTTTAATGATCAGGAACATGCATGGACCAATACTAAATAATTAAACATTGTATAAGGCCTATCCTAACCTGTCCATATTTGCTATTCAAAGCCTATGCACAAATAGTAGCATAACTATTATGTTTGGCAAACTGCGATCTAAACTAAAGCATAATAAAATAGCATAAAATACGGCCCTATAGAATCACTGCAGTAGCCTTAGCCAATGCAGGCCGGTGTTGCTGCATCTCCCACGAAAACAGCCACCTCGAATTGTTCGTGCTCAATTATATTTGAAATTGCTTTTTTTTTATATAGACATGCAGCATATGCTACAACGACCTTACCTTAACCCCAATTCCAGATATGGGTTTGTTTTTCACCGAAATAGACGTAAAATCAGTCGATGAGGTGCCTGTATCAATGAACCAGTGAGCAAATTATGAACAGAGCCTCGCGACGCCGTGTTTCTTCGCTGGCATAGTAGTCAAGTAGCCTATATCCTCAATCGGACTGTGGGATCAGTATAAAGATCTGGCTAATAAAGGCAGATAATGCGGTAATACATGTCAATTCCCTGCTGTGGCTAGTGGGACCACGCGACTGCCATGAAAGGTGTCTTGCAGCCAGGCAAAGATGCTTGATCAAATAATCTAAGCCGGTGGGCTCGGATATCCTGTCCACTTGATAGCCTACGCGCTCGCGCTCCCTCTCCCTCCACTCTTGATACTGCTAGAGAGAATTCGGCATTAGTGCGCGCAGGAACCCACCTCCGTATAGCGAGAGAGAGGCAGAGAGAGAGAGAGAGAGAGAGAGAGAGAGAGAGAGAGAGAGAGAGAGAGAGAGAGAGAGAGAGAGAGAGAGAGAGAGAGAGAGAGAGAGAGAGAGAGAGAGAGAGAGAGAGAGGTGGGGGGGTACTTTACCCCCGATTTAAATGGTGTCTAGGGTTTACAGATAGAAATAGAGATGCACTAGAATTATTTTCCTATCTCTGTGAAATTGTTTGAATGTGTTTGATGTCCCCTTCCATTCCCCGTGGACATATTTCATTTGAGAACATGTAGTTTGCAACTATTGGAAGTTAATTCATGTCATACTGGGAAGTGGAATTATTGGCAAGTAGGCATATTATTAAAACTGCACCACATAAAGTCATTGTATTACTGGTTTATAAACTGATAATAAACAGTTGATAACTACATAGCCACGGGAAGTAGGAGGGCTGAGGGTGCTGCAGCCCCCCCTGAAAAACCTGAATTAAAAAACAATATACATTTTTTTAAAGCACACCCACCCAGAAACATCTATGGATAACTAAATAAAAGCTTTGTACCTGAAGTGACATCAAAATTAATCTACTTCAACCTACAGTAATTGTTCTCTCCTCATCTATAAATTATATTAATGTCACCTAATGAAGAGCCTTTCATACAGGGAGCATCTTATGGCATGAATCTATTAAGGAAAAGTGGGCCTATGTTATGTAACGGAGGTGGATCTCTGAACCATCTCTTCCCCCAGCAACTGAATCGCCATGAGTCTGACGAGCGTGTGAACCACATTCACATAACCTTGCCAGAGACCTGAAGATGTGTGATAGTGAAACGGACGTCAGTGTGCTGCAAACAGTTTAGCATCCTCCACTGTCCCTGTCCCCATACCAGGCTCGAACGAATTATCCTCTGCTTCCCAACACACATGACCGCCCTCCTTGACAACATACCAACCCTTTGAGCTAAACTAAAGGTACCAATTGGATAACTTCATCGGCGACATTTCAAGCTAGCTGTGGAGTGAGCTTACTGCACGTTCTTAACTCCGTTACAATAGCACCTCCCCGAACTAATGCCTGCAGACTTTAGGTCAGTGGGCTACCACATTCTTGTGGCTCACAATGTGGAACACAGGAGACGGTTCGAATCCCAGTCAGTCACATTGGTGCCATAACCCGGATGGATGTCGCGAGGTGGAGGAGGTTGAAGTACAATGAAGGTGATTCGGCAAGAGGTAGCTAAGACTAGGCCTGCAATTTGGTCTTTTGACAGATTTTTTGGAAATGCCATCATTTCAGATCTTTGGATCTCCAGACAGAGAAAAACAGAATACATGAGTTGAAATTCTCTAAAAGGAATATATCTTGCCATGAAAATCAACAATGCGCCATGGCTGATCTGGATAGATCAACTGACAATAAAGTGTTGAAATTCACACAAAAAGCAGGACTCCTGCACAATTATGGCCCTGTTGTGACTGTGTGCGTTTTCCTTTAATTGATAGGGCTGGGAGGAGTTTGTTGCGGAAGTGTGTCTTTTTTGTTGCTCTAAAAGGGGCATTTCCCAAAGTGTCAAAGAGGTTCATTCTGAATGTATGTTTTCGGATACATTGTTGCACGCGATCAACGAAGCAAGAAATTGTAACATTCTTCTGTGACCAGTGATAGTTTCGCAATCTGTTATTATGTCAGAATCGATCAAGAATATTGCAATATTTGGGGCCACGGGAATGACCGGACTGGTGACCTTACCGCTGGCTGTTGCAGCGGGTAAGCAACGTTTCTAAATTACATAATGTATTAATTATTGTAGGAGATGATAGGTTATTTCCACAATCCCTTATATAGCGTTTGCTGTCTAGCCAAGTCCAAAAGTGATCTGAGTGTTCTGCCTTGTTCCTAAACTATGCTGAACGTTATTCATCTGATTTCCTATGCAATGCTATTGGACAGCAGACATCTGTCATTAGCATATGCTATGCTAATGTAATTGGAAGTATCAATGGTCATCTGGGCTATTTGCCACTGCCTTACTCTGGGGGAAAAATATATATATATATTCTATTATTTCATTCTATATTGTGTTATTTTATATTATATTCCAATCTGATCTGTTCTATGCTATTAATTACGTCGTTTCAAAATAATAGCCTAATAATGTAACCCAATTGTCAATTTATAAAATACACACTCAATCACATGTGGCAAACGTGCTAAAAGAAGCATATATCATTTGGCTTATTTGATTCACAAGCGTTTTCGTTTCCTTGCTCTGAGATCACGAGACAAAAGTGTTGTGTTGAGTCATGCAAGTCGTTATAGGGTTCTGCTGACTCATGATTGTGATGAGTGCATTGCAGTGCACAGCAGATACGCGATAAAATCCGCTGTCTGCTTATCCAGAACACTGGGATGGCCTCATCAATTCGACCCACGGCCATACCCTAGAATTGAGATCCATTCATAAAAAACGAACCTATTGCCTACATTACATATTCCTCTCATCTTCATATTCCCATCAGACTCAAATCCCTCTGGATTAGTGGGAGATGATAAGATGAGTCAATAAATTCATAATGCTTCTTTGTTCATCATTGTCCACAGGTTACAACGTGACAGTGCTGGTGAGGGACCCTGTCAGGCTGCCTGCAGAACACAAAGCCTGCAGGGTGGTGGTGGGAGATGTCCTCAATAAGGAGGATGTGAAGAAGACCATGCAGGGTCAGGATGCTGTTATCATCATTCTGGGCACCAGGAGTGATCTCCGTAAGTTTAGGCAATCTTTCATTAGTAGGCTATAAGAATTTCAAATCAAATCAAATCAAATCAAATTTTATTGGCCACATGCGCCGAAAACAACAGGTGCAGACATTACAGTGAAATGCTTACTTACAGCCCTTAACCAACAGTGCATTTATTTTTAACAAAACAAGTAAAAATAAAACAACAACAAAAAAAGTGTTGAGAAAAAAAGAGCAGAAGTAAAATAAAATAACAGTAGGGAGGCTATATATACAGGGGGGTACCGGTGCAGAGTCAATGTGCGGGGGCACCGGCTAGTTGAGGTAGTTAAAGTAATATGTACATGTGGGTAGAGTTAAAGTGACTATGCATAAATAATTAACAGAGTAGCAGCAGCGTAAAAGGATGGGGTGAGGGGGCAGTGCAAATAGTCTGGGTAGCCATGATTAGCTGTTCAGGAGTCTTATGGCTTGGGGGTAGAAGCTGTTGAGAAGTCTTTTGGACCTAGACTTGGCACTCCGGTACCGCTTGCCGTGCGGTAGCAGAGAGAACAGTCTATGACTAGGGTGGCTGGAGTCTTTGACAATTTTGAGGGCCTTCCTCTGAAACCGCCTGGTATAGAGGTCCTGGATGGCAGGAAGCTTGGCCCCAGTGATGTACTGGGCCATACGCACTACCCTCTGTAGTGCCTTGCGGTCGGAGGCCAAGCAGTTGCCATACCAGGCGGTGATGCAACCAGTCAGGATGCTCTCGATGGTGCAGCTGTATAATTTTTTGAGGATCTACATTTTAAGTTAGTAAAAAGATATGTGCAGTTGTGTGAATAAAACCAAGTTATAACAGATACGTTATACAAGCTGAAATCAATCTCGAAGTGCAAATCAAATGGAAGTGTTCAGGAGTCTCATTAAAACATGTTTTCTGCTCTGAGTTAAAATATGTTTTGTAATAATGTTCAGGGTGAGTTGCAGTAACTAACTGCACTAGGGGTTGCTGAAGTAGGCCTACACCTTTTAATGCTTAGGCCAGGATAATGGTCAGTATGTTCATGTTTCAGTTGCAATCCACAGGTCCCACAACAATGATGTCAGAAGGAACCAGAAACATCCTAGACGCCATGAATGCTCGGGGGATCCGCAAAGTAGTTGGCTGCATGTCAGGTACAGAGGAATCTTGGACAGTCAGGGTCACAGCATCTTTCCAACTTCCAATAAATGACCATAAAGAAACCATATCCTTATATTGTCCCCCTCTCTGCTTCACAGCCTTCCTCCTATGGGACCGGTCTAAAGTGCCACCCAGGCTCCTGCCGGTCACAGAGGACCATGATAGGATGTACATGATGCTGAAGGAGTCAGGGCTGGACTTCGTGGCTGTCATGCCCCCTCATATCGACGGTTAGTCATCGCCCTTCCTCAATTCCTGAATCAGTAGAAATGTAATACTGTACTACCATAGTCACATACTGTAAGTGGTTTCAGTAATGACATGATAGGCCTATCATCCTTCCTCATACACTGCCCACTGGGTCTATTTTATTTTCTTTGTTTGTGTCTTTATAATAAAAAATATTTTTTAGTCATTTAGCAGACGCTCTTATCCAGAGCGACTTACAGGAGCAATTAGGGTTAAGTGCCTTGCTCAAGGGCACATCAACAGATGTTTCACCTAGTCGGCTCGGGGATTAGAACCAGCGACCTTTCGGTTACTGGCACAACGCTCTTAACCATTAAGCTACCTGCCGCGTTCCACGTTGGTTCAATGTAATTTTATTGAAATTATATGGAGACAACGTTGATTCAAAGTGTGTGCCCAGTGGGTATGTACTGGATGGATTAGTGTTATTCAACTGATATTAAAATAAATAAAGAGAGTTGCACACTCTCTATATATATATATATATATATATATATAAACTCCCTGTGCCGAAACGTTGGTGTTTTACCCAATAAATTACTGGGAGTTTATATATAGAGTGTGCGACTCTATTTATTTTAATAGCTTACAGTTTATTCGCCGTTGGTCAGCACCTCCACACAGAGTGATTTTCTCTGGGTGTGCTCCAGCTCATGCTTTTTATTCAACTGATATTAAACATTTTCTGAATATCTAATAATATTAGGTGCCTTATATTGCACTGCTAAATATAAATGCACTGCTATTCCCAACAGATACCTTACCTTTGACTGAGAAGTACACAGTGACAGAGAACATGCTGAAAGGGCGTGTCATTTCCAAATATGACCTGGGACACTTCTTCGTCAAGTGCTTGTCCATCTCTGACTGGGACAGGAAGACAGTTGGGGTTTGTGGGGAGTACAGTTAACCCTAACAAGACAGAGCCCTCCTCTTTCCATAAAGCAGTTATGACAGCTGGCCTATCAGACACAGCAACTTAGATCTTATTTCTACAAGCCAATCTTTCTTGCTTGAAAGAAATGGCAGCTTTGGCTTTTGCTAATGTTTTGTAATTATTTTCACTATCTTGACAATGGATATTATAATGTATGAAAAACGTAATATGTTAATCATCTTTGTAGTTGTGTGTGGGTCTCATACTTTGTGCAGACTTTTTAATTTGCTACATAGCCAATATCGTTCAAATATCTATTTTACTTTATTTTTATTTTAACCCAACAGCAATTTAATGTTGACTGAGTATGTTTGAGTGCAAAGTGAGTCATCAATTAGGCCTATGTTATTGATAGCCTAGGCCTACTTGTATCCTGATCTGTGCTGTGCCAACCAATGTAGACTACAAATGTACAGTATCTCACAAAAGTGAGTACACCCCTCACATTTTTTTTAAATATTTGAGTATATCTTTTCATGTGACAACACTGAAGAAATGACACTTTACTACAATGTAAAGTAGTGAGTGTACAGCTTGTATAACAGTGTAAATTTGCTGTCCCCTCAAAATAACTCACACAGCCATTAATGTCTAAACCGCTGGCAACAAAAGTGAGTACACCCCTAAGTGAAAATGTCCAAATTGGGCCCAAAGTGTCAATATTTTGTGTGGCCACCATCATTTTCCAGCACTGCCTTAACCCTCTTTGGCATGGAGTTCACCAGAGCTTCACAGGTTGCCACTGGAGTCCTCTTTCACTCCTTCATGACGACATCACGGAGCTGGTGGATGTTAGAGACCTTGCACTCCTCCACCTTCCGTTTGAGGATGCCCCACAGATGCTCAATAGGGTTTAGGTCTAGAGACATGCTTGGCCAGTCCATCACCTTTACCCTCAGCTTCTTTAGCAAGGCAGTGGTCGTCTTGGAGGTGTGTTTGGGGTCGTTATCATGTTGGAATACTGCCCAGCGGCCCAGTCTCCGAAGGGAGGGGATCATGCTCTGCTTCAGTATGTCACAGTACATGTTGGCATTCATGGTTCCCTCAATGAACTGTAGCTCCCCAGTGCCGGCATCACTCATGCAGCCCCAGACCATGACACTCCCACCACCATAATAATAATAATAATAATATGCCATTTAGCAGACGCTTTTATCCAAAGCGACTTACAGTCATGTGTGCATACATTTTTACATATGGGTGGTCCCGGGGATCGAACCCACTACCCTGGCGTTACAAGCGCCATGCTCTACCAATTGAGTTACAGACTGTAGGCAAGACACACTTCTCTTTGTACTTCTCACCTGGTTGCCGCCACACACGCTTGACACCATCTGAACCAAATAAGTTTATCTTGGTCTCATCAGACCACAGGACATGGTTCCAGTAATCTATGTCCTTAGTCTGCTTGTCTTAAGCAAACTGTTTGCGGGCTTTCTTGTGCATCATCTTTAGAAGAGGCTTCCTTCTGGGACGACAGCCATGCAGACCAATTTGATGCAGTCAATCAATCAATCAATTTTATTTTATATAGCCCTTCTTACATCAGCTAATATCTCGAAGTGCTGTACAGAAACCCAGCCTAAAACCCCAAACAGCTAGTAATGCAGGTGTAGAAGCACGGTGGCTAGGAAAAACTCCCTAGAAAGGCAAAACCTAGGAAGAAACCTAGAGAGGAACCAGGCTATGAGGGGTGGCCAGTCCTCTTCTGGCTGTGCCGGGTGGAGATTATAACAGAACCATGCCAAGATGTTCAAAAATGTTCATAAGTGACAAGCATGGTCAAATAATAATCAGGAATAAATCTCAGTTGGCTTTTCATAGCCGATCATTAAGAGTTGAAAACAGCAGGTCTGGGACAGGTAGGGGTTCCATAACCGCAGGCAGAACAGTTGAAACTGGAATAGCAGCAAGGCCAGGCGGACTTGCAGTGTGCTGCGTATGGTCTGAACACTGACAGGCTGACCCCCCACCCCTTCAACTTCTGCAGCAATGCTGGCAGCACTCAGTCTATTTCTCAAAGACAACCTCTGGATATGACGCTGAGCACATGCACTCAACTTCTTTGGTCGACCATGGCGAGGCCTGTTCTGAGTGGACCCTGTCCTGTTAAACCGCTGTATGGTATTGGCCACCGTGCTGCAGCTCAGTTTCAGGGTCTTGGCAATCTTCTTATAGCCCAGGCCATCTTTATGTAGAGCAACAATTATTTTTTTCAGATCCTCAGAGAGTTCTTTGCCATGAGGTGCCATGTTGAACTTCCAGTGACCAGTATGAGGGAGTGTGAGGGCAATGACACCAAATTTAACACACCTGCTCCCCATTCACACCTGAGACCTTGTAACACTAACGAGTCACATGACACCGGGGAGGGAAAATGGCTAATTGGGCCCAATTTGGACATTTTCACTTAGGGGTGTACTCACTTTTGTTGCCAGCGGCTTAGACTTTAATGGCTGTTTGTTGAGTTATTTTGAGGGGACAGCAAATTTACACTGTTATACAAGCTGTACACTCACTACTTTACATTGTAGCAAAGTGTCATTTCCTCAGTGTTGTCACATGAAAAGATATACTCAAATATTTACAAAAATGTGAGGGGTGTACTCACTTTTGTGAGATACTGTATATATTCCTAAGAATATATGATGTCATCATTTTATAGCTAGCTTTTGAAATAAAGAGTTTTCCAATACAACAGTTTTGAGGTGCCAGTCTTTGTGTCACTCTCTCTAGAAAAACATGTCAACAATGTTTATCAGAGGTATTTGTTGGCACTATGTAGCTATTGAGGGTGAACAGCTGAAATGGCGCTTGAACCAATAACTGTGGTTATAGGTGAACTGGCACCTGACCTGTACCATGAAGGTCTCCAAGGTTTCTTGGCAGAGGCAGTCATACACTCACATACAGGGTCACTATTCCCGATCTCTAGAAGTGTCACATACACTAACCCCTATGTGAACACTTCAAACAAAAGCTTAGAGACTGCTGGGACTATCCCACCACTGTCAACACTGTAGATTACATTTCCTTTATCTACTGCAAGTTTGAATTTCTAATTTGGCGATTGAGACAAACATATTGGAAGCTTTCTGCTTGAATATAGAAACAATGGCAGTCAAGCAACCACTGTCAACACTGTAGACGACATTTCCTTTATCTACTGCAAGTTTGAATTTCTAATTTGGCGATTGAGACAAACATATTGGAAGCTTTCTGCTTGAATATAGAGACAAACAGGTAGGCATGCAATGACTTGCGTAGCCTAATATCACAGTAGCATGGGTACGCAAAACATTCAGTAACTTTTTGAGCAATGTAGCTCGTGACAGTCCATAGCTGGCTTTGTCAAAATAGCCTAGCCTACTGTAAACCCAAAGAAAGTTGCTTGCTTATCATAAACTCATGTTTTTATTTATTTAATTGAAATACAGGACATATTTTCATTGAGTATTATTTGAGAAATGTTATTGATTCACATGCATTAATAATTTGCCTTAAATATATATATATTTTTCTTCTTATGTAGGCTACCCTAGTGACGTAATGCACTCATGTAACTCGCTGCTTACTCCCTGCAGCACGCAGGGCAAAGACAGTACAGAATGAAGGTAAGCTACAACTGCTTCTCCAATAGAAATCGCCGATCACACTTGGGGTGTGTTCGTAAAATTCATTCTGGCTATCTACTCCGATTTCAGAACACTCTCGTCTGAGGGCGTGTTCGTAAATTCCCTCTGAAGTGCCAGAGTGCACTCTGGGCGTTCGTAAATTCAGAGTGTTGTCATATTGTCTGTTCTTAAATTCAGAGCGTTTGGCTCTCTGAGCGTTCAGAATGCACACTGGACGCTCTGGCCCAGGAGTAGGGTTGTCTCTGGGCATTTGTAAATTCAGAGTGTTGTCAGATTGCCCGTTAATAAAATAAGAGCGTTTCGCTCTCGGAGCCTGAGGAGTAGGTTGGTCCGAGCATTCTGCCCTCACAACCGCAGTCAAGCAACCAAGCTAACTGGTTCAAGTTGCAGAAAAACACCTCACTCTGACCATTTTACTCACCCTATCAGAGGTGGTTAGGCTGTTTTCATGTTGTGCTGCTGGCAATATATATTTTTTTTTTTTACTGACATTTACTGACACCGGTCATATTTAACGGATGTAGCACATTCGTAAATTCATCAGTTATTCTGCGCTCTGGCACACTCAGACGAGAGTGCACTGATAGCCAAAGTGAATTTACGAAAGAACCCAAAGATTGACAACGCTCTGAATTTACGAACGATCCAGAGCGCACTCTGCAACACTGGAGGCAATTTACCAACGCACCATTGTAGGCGACGTTGGCTAGCTAAAACTCATGCGTAGAACCACGTTATCGGGTCTAACGATCGTCTCGCGCCGATGCGCATGTGCAGGTCGTCAAATCACAGGCACTTCTTCGATATAAAGTTGTTTTTGACGAAAATGAAAACGTTTCAGTTTGTCACGAGGTTGGAGTAATAACATGTTCAACTACTTAAGACATTGGCTCGAATCTAGGTTATGCTTTTAGATTTCGAGAAAATCAAGAACTAATGAAGAATTGTTGAAGAAATCTGTTTGCTCAGATTTTGGCGAGAGTGAAACCTCTCGCTTCGCCTCTTCCTCTCTGGTGAAACTTAAATCTCGGGCGGGAACGAGTTTAGGTTTTAGTTTGCCGGTGGATTTTGTACCGAGCTGGCGAGCTATCCAAATAAATATATTTGGACCTAACAGCATTCTTTACTTTAGTATATTGAAAAGATAACTGGAAACAGACGAACAGTTGCGCTCGACAGGTTTGTTGTTTTGCCAAATTGCGACAAAGTATGAAGTGGAGAGAACGCTATTAGCTAGCTACTTAGCTAAGTGAATTAGCTAGCCACTGTACAAGCTATCTAGACATGTATTTACTAGCCAATGTTATGTAATATCTATCACCCGGACATAGCTATATTACTAGTTAATTATACTCCCACAACTGCAGTCAACTCACCATGTTACGTGATGTGATCTCTAAAGATTCTTATCAAGTTTTGTGTTCTCCCCCTCTCTAGCTAACTACGTTTGGTCGAGGGGAATGATGATATCCAAGGGACAGAAGCGCAAACTCCATGATGATGTCGTGGGGGGCATGCGTAGCGCCACTTGGGAGAGCCAGCGGCAGTCAGTGCTGGCCATCTCCCTCCACAAGTACCACCACGGGCAGGAGCTGGTGGAGCCTAGTTTGCGCCGCTCCGTGTTGATAGCCAACACCCTGCAGCAGATACTCTTAGAAAACAAGCCTCCATATGGGTTAGTTAACCTGGCAGGACCAGTGCCATCCATGGTCCCATCTAACCCCTGCATCCACAGGGAGTCTGGTCTAGGTGTTGTAAACAGTGCCTCAGGTGTCGAGGATATGGAGGAGGTCTGGATGTCCTCAGAGAGTGACTTCTCCCTGTCAGCTGCTGTCTCCTCCATCCTGAAAGAACTAGACTTGACTGTCGATGGAGGGCCAGGGCCTCAGGCACCTCAGAGGACACCTTTCATGTCCATTGAGAACCTACCTGGAGACCTGGGGCTCAAACAGGCCCCCACGGGGCACTGGAGCTCTGAGTGGCGCCCTGAGGGGTCTAGAACCTCAGAGGGGGTGGCTTTTGGTAGTGTGGAGGAGGTCATGCGTTCCAGCTACCTGCAGGATGTGAAACTGGATGAACTTTTCCATGACATTGACACGTCTGTGTTTGACAGGGAGATGGGGGTCCGAGCACTCTCTTCTGCAGCCAGTGACGAGCTGCTTAAGTACTTACCCCCTCTGTCCTCCGTTCCGTCCACTTCACCCTCTCCCTTCTCCCTCAACCAGAGCTTCAGGGACCTGAATGAGCTGGAGCACATCATGGAAATACTGGTAGAGTCTTGATCACCAGAACTTTGAGGAAATTATGACATTCTAAAGAGAACAAGACATTGAAATTTAGTGTTTACTCTGTCCAGTTGATCACACGGTTTAATGACTGAAATGTGCTGTTTTTATACAAAAAAAGAAAAAGCTGAATGAGAGACTAGCCTACTTTTTCTAGTAGTGGTGTTTTGAATGTTAAATGTAATATTCCTTATGCCTAGCTATATAAAGAGATTATATTGTAAGATGTTCCTAATAGCAAATCAGTTCAGACTGATGTCCAATAAATTAATTAGTGGGTAGGATTGACTCAAACAGTTGGAATTTTGGAATACCATTACATGCCTCAGGCATCTATTGAAGGGAAGGTAGATGACCATTTCTAAATGTGAAATAACCACTAACCTGAGGGGAAATGTCTTCTGTGAAGAAATCCCTTTCACTGGTCTTACTCCAGTAAGTCGAGGGTTAATATTGAACACATTCTCACATCCTTCAATATCACAAAAGTACAACTGAACTACAATAATACTGCATTGTATTGGTCAGTATGTTCTGTAGTAGTAGCCTACCTTGCCTAACCAGTATGCATAATTAGGCTACATATTGAGCTGTGCCACTAGCTTACAGCTAGCTTCAGCCATTAGGAAATACAAATATTAACTTAACCTGAGTTACTGGCTGTGAAATGTCATGGTGCTTACCAGTAGTTCAATATCAGGTTATAACCACTGGAGTTAATATGAAGGAATTCCTCAATTTGGTTGTGCGTGCAATGATGTCTAAGGGGAAAAATAGTGTTTGCTTGCAGTAACTTGGTTGTTGTAATATCCCAAACGGACGTGGCAGTTTCATCATTAAGGATTTCATTAAGGTCTATTGTGTGGCATTTAGAAAATGTCTAACCAGGGTCAATGTAAGTCGCTCTGGAAAAGAGCGTCTGCTAAATGACGTAAATGTAAATGTCAGAAATGGTTCAAAGGATGAGTTATTTATAGAAATGTCATATTTAAATGTTCAGCTAAATATATGATCGTTATGTTCCACAATGGCAGTTTATATTTTGTATATTATTTTTGTTTATATAATGTATTTTGGCCTAATGCCCTGAAAAAGCAAGTTATTTTATGCTGACATTTTACAATGAAAGACATGTAAGTGCACTGTCTAATTTATGCAATCACCATGTTCATATTTTTTATAAATTCAGGAATTAAATGGGTTTGTGCCAATCTTTTCAAACAATGACACTTGTCTAAACTGTGCTACAGTCCAGTAGAATCACATCTCTTCGGTGGGGATCCTGCTGCAGAACATTAACAAGCAGCCAGAGAAAATACTCAATGTACCGTGCTGACCCCTAGTGGACATAAGTGTCAGAACAATGCAAGTGCCTAGCAACGATGCAAGTGCAGGTGTGCTGTTGAATTGTTAAAGTGCGTGTGAAAAGTTTCATAAGTTTGTAGCAACTGATAATGTATTAACTAACTGCCAATAATGTAAACGCTGCTAATGTAATACATGTTATATTTATAATGTAATAAATGGCCAATAATTAAGAAATATACTGAACGCATAACGTCATAGCGTTTTTGCGCATAATGTTATAATTATTACATTATGCGTTGATAACAGACATTAAAACCAGTAAATAGCGATAGCGCTGACGTCATCTACGTATTCCAATAGAAAACTGCTGATGGCTCATAAAGCCGAAAGTATTAGAATTTCAAGTGTGCCATATTTTTGAATGGGCCCAGAGAAAGGAGCAGATGGAATCCCATTGGGTATTGAATTGAGGAACGTATAACGCCCCACCCAGCAGACTGTCAACCAATCGTCTTCACGTTGTTATGCGGCGTCACACGGTTGCTAAAATAATCGTCACGCAATCTTCTCAACCTTCTCAAAGTCAGGGTATGAGTCGAGAAACATGCCTATTTTCCTCGAAAGTACTTAATGTCACGATTCCAAAGCTATACAGTATTACAGATAGCAAGTAAATGATCTCATGTCTTGGAAAATATTTGTAATATTGTACTGTTGACGAAATTCATGCTAATGTTGGCTTTTTGAGCTACCGCCCAATTGACTCCGATTCCCTCTTTGAAGGAGAGCTCTCCTTGTCCCATAATAGCCCATCATGCACCGCGCGGCCCATTGACGTAGCATGGGCAACGTTTCCCATCTCCTCAAAAGTACAGTCGTGGTCAAAAGTTTTGAGAATGACACAAATACTAATTTTCACAAAGTCTGCCGCCTCAGTTTTGATGATGGCAATTTGCATATACTCCAGAATGTCATGAAGAGTGATCAGATGAATTGCAATTAATTGCAAAATCCCTCTTTGCCATGAAAACGAACTTAATCCCCCAAAAACATTTCCACTGCATTTCAGCCCTGCCACAAAAGGACCAGCTGCCATCATGTCAGTGATTCTCTCCTTAACACAGGTGAGAGTGTTGACGAGGACAAGGCTGGAGATCACTCTGTCATGCTGATTGAGTTAGAATAACAGACTGGAAGCTTTAAAAGAAGGGTGGTGCTTGAAATCATTGTTCTTCCTCTGTTAACCATGGTTACCTGCAAGGAAACAAGTGCCGTCATCATTGCTTTGCACAACAAGGGCTTCACAGGCAAGGATATTGCTGCTAGTAAGATTGCACCTAAATCAACCATTTATCGGATCATCAAGAACTTCAAGGAGAGAGGTTCAATTGTTGTGAAGAAATTGTCAGGGCGCCCAAGAAAGTCCAGCAAGCGCCAGGACCGTCTCCTAAAGTTGATTCAGCTGCGGGATCGGGGCACCACCAGTGCAGAGCTTGCTCAGGAATGGCAGCAGGCAGGTGTGAGTGCATCTGCACGCACAGTGAGGCAAAGACTTTTGGAGGTTGGCCTGGTGTCAAGAAGGGCAGCAAAGAAGCCACTTCTCTCCAGGAAAAACATCAGGGACAGACTGATATTCTGTACAGGGATTGGACTGCTGAGGACTGGGGTAAAGTCATTTTCTCTGATGAATCCCCCTTCCGATTCTTTGGGGCATCCGGAAAACACCTTGTCCGGAGAAGACAAGGTGAGCGCTACCATCAGCCCTGTGTCATGCCAACAGTAAAGCATCCTGAGACCATTCATGTGTGGGGTTGCTTCTCGGCCAAGGGAGTGGGCTCACTCACAATTTTGCATAAGAACACAGCCATGAATAAAGAATGGTACCAACACATCCTCAGAGAGCAACTTCTCCCAACCATCCAAGAACAGTTTGGTGACGACCAATGCCTTTTCCAGCATGATGGAGCACCTTGCCATAAGGCAAAAGTGATAACTAAGTGGCTCGGGGAACAAAACATCGAAATTATGGGTCCATGGCCAGGAAACTCCCCAGACCTTAATCCCATTGAGAACTTGTGGTCAATCCTCAAGAGGCGGGTGGACAAACAAAAACCCACAAATTCTGACAAACTCCAATCATTGATTATGCAAGAATGGGCTGCCATCAGTCAGGATGTGGCCCAGAAGTTAATTGACAGCATTCCAGGGCGGATTGCAGAGGTCTTGAAAAAAAAGGGTCAACACTGCAAATATTGACTCTTTGCATAAACTTAATGTAATTGTCAATAAAAGCCTTTGACACTTATGGAATGCTTGTAATTATACTTCAGTATACCATAGTAACATCTGACAAAAATATCTCATAGCACTGAAGCAGCGAACTTTGTGAAGACCAATACTTGTGTCATTCTCAAAACTTTTAACCACGACTGTATATGTGCCCATGCGAATGTCAGACTCCACTCTGTGAGGCACGTCGATCTTCAGGTTGAACATGGTGAGACTGTAGACTCCTAGATTGATTGTGCAGTTCGTTTAGGCGATTTTACAGCTAAATAGATACTTTACATGGTGACATTGTCTTTGGTATTATTGTGTTTAGACAGCACATAGAGAGAGCATTGCATTGTGGATGTTGTAGTCCACTTGAGCTGCAACAGATTTCCACAATGATTTTCCATGTTGCTACCAACCTTATTATAATGCCAAAATAAAACATTTGTTCACAAAAAATATTGTTCTCACATATGTGTTATTTAACACTAAATTAAAGGAATTAGTGGTTTTGGGTGAATTTTTCCTTTAATGTCTATGGCATGAGGGTGCAAGCTTCCTCATAGCCTGCTAGCCCGTGATTGGTCTGTGCAGGTGGTCCTGTGTGATGGCAAATGTATACTGAACAAAAACAAACGCAACATGCAACAATTTCAAAGATTTTAATGAGTTACAGTTCATATAAGGAAATCAGTCAATTTAAATAAATTCATTAGGCCCTAATCTATGGATTTCACATGACTGGGTATTCAGATATGCATCTGTTGGTCACAGATACACAGTGGTGGAAAAAGTACACAATTGTCCTACTTGAGTAAAAGTATAGATTCCTTAATAGAAAGTTACTCAAGTAAAAATGAAAGTCAGCCAGTAAAATACTACTTGAGTAAAAGTCTAAAAGTATTTCGTTTTAAATATACTTACAGTTGAAGTCGGAAGTTTACATACACCTTAGCCAAATACATTTAAACTAAGTTTTTCACAATTCCTGACATTTAAAATTCCCTGTCTTAGGTCAGTTAGGATCACCACTTTATTTTAAGAATGTGAAATCTCAGAATAATAGTAGAGAGAATGATTTATTTCAGCTTTTATTTCTTTCATCACATTCCCAGTGGGTCAGAAGTTTACATACACTCAATTAGTATTTGGTAGCATTGCCTTTAAATTGTGTAACTTGGGTCAAACGTTTCGGGTAGCCTTCCACAAGCTTCCCACAATAAGTTGGGTGAATTTTGGCCCATTCCTCCTGACAGAGCTGGTGTAACTCAGTCAGGTTTGTAGGCCTCCTTGCTCGCACACACTTTTTCAGTTCTGCCCACAAATGTTTTATAGGATTGAGGTCAGGGCTTTGTGATGGCCACTCCAATACCTTGACTTTGTTGTCCTTAAGCCATTTTGCCACAACTTTGGAAGTATGCTTGGGGTCATTGTCCATTTGGAAGACCCATTTGCGACCAAGCTTTAACTTCCTGACTGATGTCTTGAGATGTTGCTTCAATATATCCACATAATTTTCCTTCCTCATGATGCCATCTATTTTGTGAAGTGCACCAGTCCCTCCTGCAGCAAAGCACCCCCACAGCATGATGCTGCCACCCCGTGCTTCACGGTTGGGCTGGTGTTCTTCGGCTTGCAAGCGTTCCCCTTTTCCCTCCAAACATAACGATGGTCATTATGGCCAAACAGTTCTACTTTTGTTTCATCATACCAGAGGACATTTCTCCAAAAAGTACGATCTTTGTCCCCATGTGCAGTTGCAAACCGTAGTCTGGCGGTTTTGGAGCAGTGGCTTCTTCCTTGCTGAGTGGCCTTTCAGGTTATGTCGATATAGGACTCGTTTTACTGTGGATATAGATACTTTTGTACCTGTTTCCTCCAGGAAACAAAGGTCCCTTGCTGTTGTTCTGGGATTGATTTGCACTTTTCTCTAGGAGACAGAACGCATCTCCTTCCTGAGCAGTATGACGGCTGCTTAGTCCCATGGTGTTTATACTTGCGTACTATTGTTTGTACAGATGAACGTGGTACTTTCAGGCGTTTGGAAATTGCTCCCAAGGATGAACCAGACTTGTGGAGGTCTACAATTTTTTTTCTGAGGTCTTGGCTGATTTCTTTTTATTTTCCCATGATGTCAAGCAAAGAGGCACTGATTTTGAAGGTAGGCATTGAAATACATCCACAGGTACACCTCCAATTGACTCAAATGATGTCAATTAGCCTATCAGAAGCTTCTAAAGCCTTGACATCATTTTCTGGAATCTTCCAAGCTGTTTAAAGGCACAGTCAACTTAGTGTTTGTAAACTTCTGACCCACTGAAAATGTGATACAGTGAATTATAAGTGAAATAATCTGTCTGTAAACAATTGTTGGAAAAATTACTTGTGTCATGCACAAAGTAGATGTCCTAACCAACTTGCCAAATCTATAGTTTGTTAACAAGAAATGTCTGGAGTGGTTGAAAAAACGAGTTTTAATGACTCCAACCTAAGTGTATGTAAACTTCCGACTTCAACTGTAGGTGTTCCTCTTGTCCAGGTGGGAAAGGGCAGTGTGGAGTGCAATAGAGATTGCATCATCTGTGGATCTGTTGGGGCGGTATGCAAATTGGAGTGGGTCTAGGGTTTCTGGGATAATGGTGTTGATGTGAGCCATGACCAGCCTTTCAAAGCACTTCATGGCTACAGACGTGAGCGCTACGGGTCGGTAGTCATTTAGGAGGGGACTGAGCACGCACCCCTGAGGGGCTCCCATGTTGAGGATCAGCGTGACAGATGTGTTGTTACCTACCCTTACCACCTTGGGGCGGCCCGTCAGTAAGTCCAGAAGCCCGTCAGATGGGACCAGACTCATGTCACTCCACACTGCCCAGATTATTTCACTTATAATTCACTGTATCACAATTTCAGTGGGTCAGAAGTTTACAGTAGTTGTATTACAGCTGGTGAGACTTACTGTATGTGTTGATTCAACAATGTGGATCTATTTTTCAGATGATTATAAAGAGTATAGATCAAAAAAATACTGTTATGTTGTGAATCCTGCATTTCCTCAGCTAAGCACCTCACGACCATTTACAGAACAGAGGAAGTGAACGTATCTGACATGTTAAAAATGAAAGAGAGAAAAAATGAGTTTATTTTCCTTTCAAGGTTAATCTGTGACACGTTACTGAACTGCATCTCCCAACCCTCCCCTCACAAACCAATTAGCAATCCCAAATAGCACCCTATTCCCTAGTGTACTTCTTTTGACTAGGGCCCATAGCGCTCTGGTCAAGAGTAGTGCACTATATAGGGGATAGGGTGCCATTTGGGATGCACACCAAGTAGTTTTATATTTGATGTTTATTTCATCTGTCTTCCAGAAGTGTTCTATAAATAGTATCCCAGAAAAAGCAGAATGTTAACTAAGTCTGTTAATTACAGCCCTGCCTTCTGAGGAGGTTGCCTCTAGCTGACACAGGTTTATAGGCTTCTGCTCACACACACCACACACACACACAGATACACACCACAGACAAACACACACACACGCACTCATGCACTCACGCACACGCACACACACACCACACACACACACCACACACTGCAAATAGCAGGCTGAGGACTTGAGAAGCAGCCCCAGGGAAACAGAGTGCTAGCTGGTGGTTGGTGTAGCCTGGTATTGCATCACTTCCTGCTGATCCAACTCCTCTTTCCTGTTCCTAGCCATGTACCATATGGCTAGGGGAGATATGGAATGGAGTGATTTTAGTGCCAACAGAAACTACATCTGAATTTTATCGATGCTATGGGAACTGGCTAAAGGACATATCTGTATGCACTCACTAACTATAAGTCGCTCTGGATAAGAGCGTCTGCTAAATGACTAAAATGTAAATGTAATGTCAGACATTCACTCCTCTCACTCACCTATAACCTATCGGTCCAAGGCCAAAATCAGTGTTTTTTCCACTACTTTCAATTATCTGCCTCTACAGTCCTCTTATGAGCCTCACATATGGAAGTGTTACCTTTCAGGTCAACTAGTACAATAAATATTTTAATACAAAGTTGCCTCCTTGGCTCTATTTTACATACAGTGCATTCGGAAAATATTCAGACCCATTGACTAGATCCACAATTTCTTACGTTACAGCCTGATTCTAAAATGGATTAAATTGTTAGTTTTTTCCCTCACCAATCTACACACAATACCCCATAATGACAAAACAAAAACAGTTTTTGAAATGTGTACAAATATATATATATACATATATATATATATATACTTGGCGCAACTGTATTTGGGGCGTTTCTCCCATTTTTCTCTGCAGATCCTCTCAAGCTCTGTCAGCTTGGATGGGGAGCGTCGCTGCACAGCTATTTTCAGGTCTCTCCAGAGATGTTCGATCGGGTTCAAGTCCGGCTCTGGCTGGGCAACTCTAGGACATTCAGAGAATTGTCCCGAAGCCACTCCTGCGTTGTCTTGGCTGTGTGCTTAGGGTCGTGGTCCTGTTGGAAAGTGAACCTTCACCCCAGTCTGAGGTCCTAAGTGCTCTGGAGCAGGTTTTCATCAAGGATCTCTCTGTACTTTGCTCCGTTCATCTTTACCTTGATCCTGACTAGTCTCCCAGTCCCTGCCGCTGAAAAACATCCCCACAGCATGATGCTGCTACCACCATGCTTCACCGTTGGGATGGTGCCAGGTTTCCTCCAGACGTGACGCTTGGCATTAAGGCCAAAGAGTTCAATCTTGGTTTCATCAGACAAGAGAATCTTGTTTTTCATGGTGATCAATGGAAACAGGATGCACCTGAGCTCAATTTCGAGTCTCATAGCAAAGGGTCTGAATACTTATGTAAATAAGGTATTGCTGTTTTTTATTTGCATAAATGTCTAAAAACCTGTTTTCGCTTTGTCATTATGTGGTATTGTGTGTAGAGTGATGAATTTGATTGTTTTTTTCAATTTTAGAATAAGGCTGTAACGCAACAAAATGTGGAAAAGGGGAAGGGGTCTGAATACTTTCCGAATGCACTGTGTGTTCTAGTCTCGTAGATATTACAGATAATAACAGTCCCAAACTGTTGTCATATCTAAGTGTGTTGTAATTAAAATGACATGATCTCCCCATTTATTTCTGCTGGGAAACATGAGTATGGGCCCTCCAACATTAGTCCACTGGTTTAATATACTGTCCAATTACATTCCCTTAGTAATATCAAATAAGGATTCTGTGGTGTGGTGTGTAGTCCACTATTACTGAAGCATGACACTTGATATGCATGAACAAACACAAGTAATTTTGTTATTACATTGGCTAAAATGATTAACATTCATAAGTTACCCACTTCATAATGTAATAATCAACGCATAATGTAATAATTATTACATTATGCACAAAAACATTATTAGCGTTATAAACATTATTAGCAATTTATTACATTAGCAGCATTTATTACATTATAAATGCAAAAGTTATTACATTATTGGCAGTTATTACATTATCAATGTATGTAGCAACTGACAAATTTCATACATGCTAAAGTACATACTCTGTCACAGTTTTCACAATGACAGGAATGACACTTCCTAAAGTTGAACAATTGACAACTACACATCAGAACACAGATACTTGGTTTTTATTTTCAATCCTTTTGTTCCCTAAATTTGTTATCCGTCAGATGATATACTTATAATTTATTTGAAACACTTGATCATGTTACACCACAGGCAAAAACAAAGCCAAACGAAGTTGGGAAGGCCCATGCTAGTCCTGGGAATGTGCTCCATCATATGACTCAAGACAAAGTCTCAAGCAATGGCTTTTTCACATAGTTACTGGGGAGTGGCAACAAACTCTTTCAAAGATGGCTACTATAATGAGATTGTTTAGTTTTGAAATATCAGATATTTCTATATGACCTTCCTTGATCAACCCTGACCTAAAACCACAAAAGGGTACATTAAAATACATCCACAAGAAAATATCGGTATATGATAAACGTATATATTTTTTGGTCTGAAACAACAACAAAAAAGTTATAAATAATCAGAATCAGTCCCAACCAGAAGTGTTCTCTGCGGGTTATGGAACAACAACCTTTTCCCACCTTGACGAACAACCCTTGCCAAGTGTCAACTGGGTGCAATGGTGCATCTGTAGAGTTTTTGGTTTAGTTGAGCTGTCGTTGCAGGAAGGTCTGACCTGAGCCGTGAGTTGCCTCACAGCAGTAAAGATAGTCTTTGGTGCCTATGTAGGGTCTGGTTTTAAACTCATCCCTGTGTTGCTGTAAAACAGTGACAGTTGTTTAGCTGTTTGACCTGACTGATGTAAAGGAGAACGGGTCAGAGTGGAGTGAGTCCTTATCGGTTGATGGTGTTATAGGAGGTCTGGGAGGCCGGATCCAGGGGCTTGGCCGAGGCCTCTGCCTCATGCTGGTCCTCAGGGCCGGCCTCGATGATGGGCTCCTTGTCCTCCTCTATATCCTCGTCACAGTGGGGGAGCTGGAAGAAAGAAGTCAGGCCATGCAGGTCGGCCATCCGGTGGAAGGCACGTAGGACCAAGTACATCATCATCAGCCCTACAAACAGGTACACTGCAGAGGGCAGAGAGCACAACATTAATTTTCAACATCAGCTCCATGAGCAAGCATACGCTGTGGGAAGAAACATTATACATGGACATGGTCACTTGTCTCACAAAAGCACAAACTCACCACACTGGTGTGCTCGTGGTGTACTCCTGCTGGACAAGAAGGCCAACTATTCAACAGGGTTCCTCACAATACAGTTATGCTTTTATGCCATTTCATGGTTCATTTGTTTCAACAGTTGTTTCAGTGCAGGTCAATAAGCAGAGTAGACTTACACCTCCCTTGTGACTTAAATTCTTTCATACCATGTTGTGGGGTCTTTTTTGATAGGAAAAGGGTATTCCGATATGAGCAAAACAACCTATTTTCCAGTAGTTGCTAATCCTACGAGGAAACGAGAACAACCAATCAGGTTAATAATCTGGGGGATCTGGCCTACATAGTTAGGGCCCTGTGTTTTGGTTGATCATGTCACATCACCTAGATTTGAAACTTTAATGAGAATGACAAAAACATTTCGCAATTGTCTGAGGATGGTGCTGGACCATATGACATGAAAAGAAAAAAACGGAAAAGTGTGATGAACAAGCTTGAAATAAAAGTTCAAATCCAGGTCATGTGACATGATCAACCAAAACACAGGGCCCTAAAACAAGACAACAAGTTGCGCATTGAAGCACAGTGTGGACCCTGAGACAACGCCACAGAGCCAGCCACCACAATGACCGCAGAGTACAACAAACACCCCTAGGCTCTAAACAGTCAGGTTATTTTGAGAGATAATAAAATGGTAATTCCAGTAATTCAATTATACCTTAAAAACTAAGAGCATGACTCTGATAAAATGTCATATGACAATATGTCATGTGACAATATGAAATCCCTCCAAGTACAAGTGGGGTAGATGGTGGTGTGGTATGGTATCCTTGACTCCCTACTGCCACATGCCCTTAAGTTGAGAGCAATCACACCACACAATGCACTCTTCCCAAAACAAGAAGACCAATTAAAATTCACCCATCCAGTATACCAAACAATCACAGACATTGTGAGATACATGGATGGGGCAGTGGAGCGACACCGTTTCCTCCTGAAAACCACAAGGGGGCCTCCTCAGACTTCTACAAATGTACAAATATACTCAAATGATCAACCGTATTGCATATTAGCAGTATCAGAATTACATATCTAGGGTCAATACAGGGATAAGGAATGCATCCATTTTCTTTCATCGGCTGAACCAGGTTATCGGTAAAGTCATCCCGAGTCATCTTTCTGACTAATATCTTCTGACATTAAGGCCTACAAGAAGTCTAGACATTGAGCACAATGTACAGCAGAGGTGTCCTGTCCTCTCATCTTCAAATATCTTACAATAAGCACATTTAAAAACTAAAACAAACGTTATGGATCCTTTTGACTGGAGTGCAATACTTGAGGGGAGGAGGAGCACTCAGGAGGCGCCATTTCTCACATCCGAGGTGTGAAAGTTTCTGCGGTTTCACAGAGACACAGCACCATATTTCACCAGAGGGCCTACCTATCTCAGTGCTGGACAGGATGTCTCACACTGGCTTCTCTAATGAGAGGTGGTGTTTGGCCGAGCATTTCCCACTTCACTCAAGTGTCTGCACACGGTCAAAACTGTCAAGTCCACTTCTTCCTATGCACATCCCTCTGCTTAAAACATTGATGCAAACTCCACCCAATCATTCCGTCACTGTTCACACTATTATTTCCTTGTTTTTTATTCAAAGGGGGAAAACTATTCTAACTCGACATCATGAATGACTGGGTAATGAGTATCACCGAATGTATGACATCAGTCTGAGCTGTGTTATGAGCCGTGTCAGTGTGCCACGTCCTTTTATCAAACACACTCAGACTAGTTTATGACTCACCCATCACAGAGATCTTATAGAGCGATCTGAACTTCTGTCCGGGCTTCTCGCCAGGCACATAGTCACCCAGGCCGATGGTACACAGTGTGATGAAGCAGAAGTATATGGCGTCCAGGAAGGACCAGGTGTCCTCGATGTGGCTGAACACCACGGCGGGTACCACGAAGAAGCCCAGCACCACCAGCAGCAGCAGGATGGCAAAGTGGATGGCAGTGGCGGCGAGAGGGTCCAGGCCGATCCTCTGGCGGCACATACCGATGGGTCCGTAGGTCACCAGGTGCATGAGCCTCTGGACACAGGCGGTGAGCACCAGCATGGTGAAGGGCACTCCCAGCAGGGCGTAGAAGATGGAGAAGGCTTTGCCTGTGTCCGACAGGGGCGTAGTGTGCCCATATCCTGGGGGGGAGAGAAAGAGTATTTGTATTTATTTATATATGAGAGAGAGAGAGAGCGAGAGAGCGAGAGCCAGGGGCACACGCCAACACTCAGACATAATTTACAAACGAAGCATTGGTGTTTAGTGAGTCCACAAGATCAGAGGCAGTAGGGATGATCAGGGATGTTCTCTTGAGAAGTGTGTGAATTGGACAATTTTCCTGTCCTGCTAAGCATTCAAAATGTAACAAGTACTTTTGGGTGTCAGGGAAAATGTATGGAGTAAAAATTACATTATTTTCTTTAGGAATGTAGTGAAGTAAAAGTTGTCAAAATTATAAATAGTAAAGTAAAGTACAAATACCCTAAAAAACGACTTAAGAATTTTTACTCAAGTACTTTAAAACCACTGGACTCACCCACAAACAGGGCGAGTGTCCATCCTAGCTGGAGGGGTGCTTTCATCTTATCTATCAACATAGACAGGGCTCTAACTCCTCTAGCTCCACAATGAGATAGGGTGCAGGCCAGGCAGCAGACTGTTAGCCAGCCTTCCAGCTTAGTAGAGTCTGCCTCTAGCACAGTAAGTGTAGTCCATTCCTGTCATTATTGAAAGAGATTGTGATAATACCTCACATCTCAAAATAGGACTACTTAAATGTTAGATCTCTCACTTGCAATGCAGTCATAGTCAATTAACTAATCACTGATCGTAAACTTGATGTGATTGGCCTGACTGAAACATGGCATAAGCCTGATGAATTAACTGCGTTAAATGAGGCCCCTCTGGTTACACAAGTGATCATATCCCCCGTGCATGCCACACAGGCAGAGTTATGACATTTACTCACTCAAAATGGAATGTACCAAGTATAATATATTATACTTATAAATATGATTTACATCAAAATATATATATTTTTAAAAATCCAAAATGTGACCATCCGATAAAAAAAATAAATAATGTAACATACAAAGTAGGTTATTTGATTGACAACTATTCTTACTTATGTAACCATGTAAAAATGCAAACATCTATTCAAAGACTATTACCTCAATAAGATTTAGTACAGACCAGGCCTGACACAAAATGTAGAAATAGTAGCTTACTTTGACAACAATTCAGTGAATGCAACAAGTATTAGATAGAGATAAAGAGAGAAGATACAAAAACTGGTCAGAGACTATTTTATAAAATACACAATTTCCCTATAAGATTTGTAGGATAAATTCATGTCACACTGTCACTTGAGTGTTTGCATTTAGCCTACAACATGTCATGAAACTTCTTGAAGCATTGCCCCATCCTACAAAGTGGCACAAAATGTAAAAATAGCACTTTGACAACAATTCAGTAAATGCAAGTATTAGATCGAGAAAGATTCAGAGAAAATAATCTAAATGCACCCACACAAAGTAGGCTATTGTATTGAAAAATACTCTTACCTCTGTAACAATGCAAACAACTATTCTGAGAATATTTCAAAATGTAGATAACCTCTTTCAATAAAATTTAATACAGACTAGGCTTGACAAAAATGTAGAAATAGTAGCCTACTTTGACAACAATTCAGTGAATTGGATGTGGTGGCAGACAGGTTGGTGTTAAACACCAGATCTGAAAAATGTTTAACAGACTCCTACCACTTTTAAAAACAACTCCAAAACCCCTGCCACTGTCACTTTAGGCCCAGGCTGGGCCTCCAATCATCTCCAACTCCTCTTCCTCCCTGCCTTCTGCTGCTAAGCCCTGACTCTCCACGTCACTTCCCTCGCTTTCACTGACCTAGGAGGAAGAGACTAAGAGAGGTAGAGGGAGAGAGAGAGGAGCGGAGCAACAAATAGGATACAATTGTGGCCAGGAACATCATCTCTCTCACACTGTCTCTCTCTTCCTTCCTCTCTTTGTTTTTCTCAACTATACACACTCTCTTCCTAATAATCACCGCTTAGGGGTTTCCATAATAAATGGTGTGCTACAGTTACACGCCTCCCATTCCACCTACACACACCATGATGCTATACAGCACTTTCAATCAATCAAATCAATCAAAATGATTTTATGAAGTCCTTAGTGGCCAGATTATTTCTTTGTTTATGGTGTGCATATGTACAGTGCATTCATAAAATATTCAGACCCCTTGACTTTCTCCACATTTTGTTACATTACAGCCTTATTCTAAAATGAATTTAAAAAAATATTCATCAATCTACACACAATACCCCATTATGACAAAGCAAAAACAGGTTTTTAGATTTTTTTGCAAATGTATAAAAAATAAAAGTATTTACATAAGTATTCAGACCCTTTGCTATGAGATGTTTCTACAACTTGATTGGAGTCTACCTGTGGTATATTAAATTGATTGGACATTGGAAAGGCACACACCTGTCTATATAAGGTCCCACATTTGACAGTTCATGTCAGAGCAAAAACCAAGCCATGAGGTCGAAGGAATTGTCCGTATAGCTCCAAGACATGATTGTGTCGAGGCACAGATCAGGGGAAAGGTATCAAAACATTTCTGCAGCACTGAAGGTCCCCAATAACACAGTGGCCTCCATCATTCTTAAATGGAAAAAGTTTAGAACCACCAAAACTCTTCCTAGAGATGGCCGCCGGGCCAAACTGAGCAATCAGGGGAGAAGGGCCTTGGTCAGGGAGGTGACCAAGAACCCGATGGTCAATGACAGAGTTCCAGAGTTCCTCTGTGAAAATGGAAGAACCTTCCAGAAGGACAACCATCTCTGCAGCACTCCACCAATCAGGCCTTTATGGTAGAGTGGCCAGACGGAAGCCGCTTCTCAGTAAAAGGCACGACAGCCCACTTGGAGTTTGCCAAATGGCACCTAAAGGTCTCTCAGACAATGAGAAACAAGATTCTCTGGTCTGATGAAACCAAGATTGAACTTTTTGGCCTGAATGCCAAGCTTCACGTCTGGAGGAAACCTGACACCATCCCTACGGTGAAGCATGGTGGTGGCAGCATCATGCTGTGGGGATGTTTTTCAGCTGCAGGGACTGAGAGACTAGTCAGGATCAAGGGAAAGATGAACAGAGCAAAGTACAGAGAGATCCTTGATGAAAACCTGCTCCAGAGCGCTCAGGACCTCAGACTGGGGCGAAGGTTCACCTTCCAACAGGACAACGACCCTAAGAACACAGCCAAGACAATGCAGGAGTGGCTTCGGGACAAGTCTCTGAATGTCCTTGAGTGGCCCAGCCAGAGCCCGGACTTGAACCCGATCAAACATCTCTGGAGAGACCTGAAGATAGCTGTGCAGCGACACTCCCCATCCAAGCTGACAGAACTTGAGAGGATCTGCAAAGAAGAATGGGAGAAACTCCCCAAATACAGGTGTGCCAAGCTTGTAGCGTCATACCCAAGAAGACTCAAGGCTGTAATTGCTGCCAAAGGTGCTTCAACAAAGTACTGAGTAAAGGGTCTGAATACTTATGTAAATGTGATATTTCCATTTTCTATTTTTAATAAATGTGGAAAAAAATCTAAAAACCTGTTTTTGCTTTGTCATTATGGGGTATTGTGTGTAGATTGATGAGGGAAAAAAACAATTTAATCAATTTTAGAATAAGGCTGTAACGTAACAAAATGTGGAAAAAGTCGAGGGGTCTGAATACTTCCCGAATGCACCGTATGTCAGACTGATGGATAATCAGACAGGATAGAGTACACAAAAAGATATTCATGAATATGTTCATAGATGGGTCCGATTATAACCATAAAGGCTATATAGGGTACACACACTTCAAGACCCATGGTCAGATTACTTTTCACAGATGGTAAAAAGTCAAAGTATGTGGAACAACGGTTTACAGATTCAACACATCAACTACTGTTTATTTAGGATGTTGAAAGTCAAATATTAAAGATGACACTATGTGCAATTTATCCAAACAGGTTTAGAATAATTCCTCATCTATTTTAGAGTTACTTTCCTGCAATTCTACACATGTAGTCATAGCCTGGAGAGAAATGTTTGCAGTGTTTAATATGATATCTGAGTGAGACTAATTTACAAAATCAATGGGGGCTCCCCGGCCAGTAATTCAACCATGATAACAAGTTTAGATAGCTGGCAGTTAAACTAAAATGTTAGCTGACATGGGCTAATTGACTGACTATCAGTGACTGACATAACAACAGTAAAACTGCTGATGCACAACCAAATTTCGAAATTGCACCTTGTGTAGTGTAGTCAGTCTACTATTCTAGATTACAACTGTAAATTGAGACGCTGACTGAGTCAGCGGAAATGGATCGGAGGGTCTTCAAAACTTGGGCCGCAAGTTGCTCATCCCTGCTCTAACGACTTCTAACGCACTGATACTGAGTCAAGGCCACCTGAAAATCACACGGGCCCATTGATGCGTGGCATGTTTTGGTCACTGAGTACAAAAAATGTCCAGCTACAACTGTAATTGTAATCTGTAACCAATCAGTGTTTCCTTGCGTATCTTGCAATATTAGCACTTAAATTGTTTAGAAATGTCTATATGGATTTGTCTTATACGGATCAGTCGAAACAAAACGGTAACGATGTAGGTCTAACAAAGACAAGTGTAGGCTATTTACATACCGACTGTCGTTACTAAAGTGTTGGCGAAGAACAAAGAGGAAGCCAAGTCCCAATTTGAACTCGCAGAAGAATTCGGAAGGATAGATACTCCATATTTATTGGCTTGTAAAACTCTCTCCAAAAAGTTTTCAAGTGATGTTGCATTGACGCAACTTTGGTTGAGAAACTCTTCTTTCAGGACTTGTATGTCTCTTTTTAGTTTGTCCTCCACCGGCCGTTCGATGGTGGAGAAAACGAGCGCTCCAAGCAACAGATACGCAACATAGAACAGTATAAAACCTGTAAGCAGTATCCAAGATTTGTACCCCGAAGACATTTCCACTTTTTCTGCTTTCAATGTCATCCGCCAAACTGTTACTTTGTAGCCTACTTCCCTGCCTCCGTCTCCTCAAGTTAAGTTTCGGCTGTCCTCCACCCAACTGTTACAATTTTGACAGGGGTGTGTTCAAACGCCTAGAACTATGCAAACAAACATTTTGAGAATACACTGCTCCCTACTGTTCCTAATGATTACAGCATGTTCTTAGTCTTTTACGTTGTATTTCTATCTGCAACGATGTGAACATTTCAAGAGAGCTGATCCAGAAACAGCGAAGTGGGCTACAACACATTTCATTTTCTGCCCCTTCATTACCCTTTCCCCCAGCTGTTTCTCTTTGGTATTTACAAGACTGGATATGGAAAATATAAGGAAAAGTCTCCAACAATCCCTAGGTGAAAATATAGACTAAATGATCCAGTCAGTCTCAGATCTGTGAACACTAAAGTGAGGACCTATGGGGTGGGCCAAAGGGCCAAAAGGGAACTAGAGCATATTGCCTCGCTCTCCTAGTTTCATATGTCCATAATGGCTTCATATAGTTGTTATTGCAGACAGAGATTGCTTGCCTTGAGCTTTTACGTAAAACTAATACATGTGATTAGGGGAGCCATCGTATCACATGCTGCAGCTGAAGAAAATAGCATTCCTAGGATATGTTTTTATTTTTGCCAACCGTGCACTGAACTATAGCAGGGCAATGTGCACAGTGCACATTAGGCAAACAAACTGTTTACTTTATTTGATAGCTTGCCAAAAGGTAATCTAAGGCCACTCGCATATTTTCACAATAACACAATCAATGCCACATTATCTGGTGAAAACAGATCCTCTGACTCAGCAACTTCCTATTAACCAATTCAGCACTACAGACAGCCCCGGACTACCACATTTGGGGCCCCGGGGCCCCCGGGGCATCTACCTTTTTTTAGGAAAACAGCTAACTCCTGCATTTCGACACATTTTGCCATGGTGCAGAGAAAAATTTGGCCGTTTTATAATGCTGTTCTACACATTTTATCATGAGGCTGAGAGGTAACTTTGCAGTTTTAAAGCTAATTTCCTGCTATTTTACATGTTCTGTTTTATAGCTCATCTCATGCTATTATTCACATCTTGCCATGAGGCTGAGAGAAAATTGTGCAGTTTTAAAGCAAATTTCCTCCAGTGGGTTGGGGGCCCACTGGAGGTCAGGGGCCCTGGGGCACGTGTCCTGTGTGCCCGTTCGGTGATCCGGCCCTGACCACAGACCAGCAACTGGTAAATGACCTCCCCTTGGGCCCCTTACCTGCCATCATCGTATATTGGAGAAGTCATTCTAGGAGGCATACTTGGCCACAAGGATAGAGTGGGCATAAACTGAAAATAGTATTGCTCTGTCAGTTTTCCTCATTAGCAGTCTTAGGTAATGACTTGAAGGCTTACTTACCACAGTCTTGCCAGTAGTTACAGCTGATGGTGTGCTAATTCAAAGTATGTCACTTGTAAGTGTTGATATGCCAGTGTGGTTTCCCTTTGACCCATGACACTTTATTGTAGCGCTGTAGACCATTCTAATTGACTGACACGTGTAGCGTACTATTTTCTCCCATTTGTTGCTGTTTTAGTTTATAGTGAGTATTGTGTCAAACACCCAAATAAGATGACTGTTTAGGTACTTCAAGAAATTATACAGTATATCAAAACATTAGCAAAAGCGTTGAGGATGGAAAACAGCAATCATCATATCATTTTATTACATCAATTAATTAAGTTGACAATCTATTTGTATCAGTTTGAACAACTCAGAAAATCTGTATTTCTTGAGGAATACATATTATGTACAAATTACAAACATCCACTCAATTTTCTGTAGGCCTACTGAGTTTCCCCGGGTTGCCCACAAACAAAAAAATCAAGAGAGAAACAAATAGAATCTTAATATGACATGATTGCTTTTTTGTGATCTAAAACAAACTTGTACTGGTAAAATAACACATTTTCTCTTTGCCAGCACAAAACAACTGAATTCTGACAGCCAGAAACACCCCAATTTAAATGTAATCATTTCAGTAAACATGGTCATTATTTACTAAGATAATAAGAAAAGGAGCTGTGATCCATGTGAGCTCCAATGTTTGCTAAACCTACAGTATATTCTGCTCCAGAGTTGTTACCGGCACGGTTGAGCCAGACCACATGATGGGATAGTGTGTGTTTGTTGTTTGTGTCCATGTCAGTGTGTGTGAGAAAGAGGGTGGGAGTGAACGAAGGGGGATAGGGGCATAGACATCCACTTCTCCTGACAAACACTAATTACTTTAACATTTCCTATAGTCCATAAGAATGAGATGAATAAGAATGTAAACATTTGCATATATTTTAGGAATATCTGAGACAAAAATTATAATTAGTGCTTCGTTTTATCCAATTTGTCACAGGTATGCATCTATTGATCTAATTCCAGCGAAGGTAAAGCAAAACAGGGCATTATTAAGGGTCACCATATAGTCAGGTGGTCCAGTCGGCCCAAGGAGAGATCATCCTCAGAGTTCTGAATCTTGTGAAATGTTTAGTTTTTTCTCCCCATTGAGATGAAGACCGTGGTTTGGCATGGAAAGGCATAAAAAAAGGCTAAATGTGTTGTTGACAGTCAGGGAAAGTGGACATTTTGGTTATTCCATGATGTTCTTGTTGACATAAGATAAGCGTCTCTTCCCACAGGCCTGTGCATGCTGACTGGATGAGGGGAGGCCAAGAGAGGGACTGTAGTTTGCTGCTCGTTCCCCAGTCATATTTTCCTGCAGAGGAGAACAAATGATGCATCTTCTAAATTTACATTAACTGTAGTCATGA